TTATTATTATTATTATTATTATTATTATTATTATTATTATTATTATTATTATTATTATTATTATTATTATTATTATTATTATTATTATTATTATTATTATTATTATTATTATTATTATTATTATTATTATTATTATTATTATTATTATTATTATTATTATTATTATTATTATTATTATTATTATTATTATTATTATTATTATTATTATTATTATTATTATTATTATTATTATTATTATTATTATTATTATTATTATTATTATTATTATTATTATTATTATTATTATTATTATTATTATTATTATTATTATTATTATTATTATTAATTATTATTATTGTTATTATTATTCATCTTTCATTCTTGTGGTTTTTTAATATTTTCCCTTATTGTCGTTATTATCATTTATTTCAAATTATTTTGTGATAGAGAGCTCTGTTGAAATGCTGATAAGCGAATTTTATTTAGTTTGATTTAAAAATGAATTAAATCTTAACTTTTCTTCTCTGTGATTTTCATTTTCACTAACATTTCTCATTTCTTTTTTCTTTATGCAAAAATGTAATGTAAAAGTTAAACTTTTCAACAAAAGTGCTTTAATATAGTATTTATCTTTTCATCATTCAATGTTTTTTTGTCTTTTTAATCTTTTGACGTTTTTCCTTTTTCTCCTTTTAGTCTTTCTCTTTTCTTTGCTTCTTTTTTAATTATATATGTTTGATAATTGGGAAAAAAAATAAAATTATTAACATTTCACTAAGTTTTTCTTGCATTCACTCTATAATTCGACCATTTATTGCTTGGCAAATCCCATAAAATTTTATTCTCTTTTAATTACATTCCCAATTTTTTCATTTTCTCTCCCTCTGTTTCTTTCTTTCTTTGTTTTATCTTCCACTTTATAAAAAAAAAAAATACAAAAAAGGCAAAATAAATTTAACAAGAAAAAAAAGAGATGAAGAAGTTGTCCAACTTAACTTTTTCTTTTTTCGTTTTTCTTTTTTTAGAAAATATTACGAGAATGTTATAGAGAGAGGAAAATGAAATAAGTATTCCCACACCTGTCAAATTGAATTCCAATTCCGATATATGACTGTCATAAATGATTTGAGATGAAGACATTTGAAGAAAGTTTGATTCATAGAATTAAAAATTCCTATTAGTTCAAAATTAATTTGCAGAAATTTTCACGAACTAGAACTAATTGTTATACTAATCAATTCCTTTTCTTATTCAAAAAAAGGGAAAAATTGGAAAAAATTAGAAAAAAGATCAGTCTTTTTTTGCATAAATTATTAACTCTATTGCTTAGTAAATAATTAAACTAATTCACGTTACAGATGTAAATGATTTCCAATTATTTCCATACAATATCAAGTAAATGTATTTCATTTTGCAAATATTTTGTACCTTTTTTACGAGTTAATTTTTATCCTTTCAAAGAATTTGATTGCAAATTAACGTAATTCATGCACCATTTGCAAATGTCTAAATTTTTATTTAGCAAATTTAAATCCTTTCGTTTCTTTTTGCTGCAAAAAAAAAGTTTTAAATTTCAAACATTTCATAATCAATTTTGAATGCACAAATTTTCAAGCATTTTCATTCTTGCAATTTTTGTTTTAGGAAATATAGGAAGAATTTAAGTGCCAAGAACAAACTTTTAATTAATTTTAAAGCTCAAAATTATCATAAATTTAGCTAAATCCATTGCTAATCTTATGCATTATATGCATTATTTACACATTTTTTTAAAATTTTTGACTATAAATTGAAAAAATTTGCATGTTATCATTTTTTCATGGATAAATTTATTTGTGCTAAATAAAGTTATCAAAGTTGCGTGATGTGAATTTACTTCAAGCATTCTTTATCACATTCTCATCCATCAATATTATTGACCAATGCATTTCAGATTAATTAACACCTGTTTACTTATGACGAATTCCATTACAGTAGACTTGTTTTGACGAATTTTCTGCTTAATAGCTCACATTTTACTCCATAATTTTTTTTCCATCTCTTACACACATATATATATGTATATATATATATAATACTTATATTTGTATTTATGTTTTCAATTACATATATTAAGTTATTATTAATTATATGCACAAATAGTATCATTTAGTCTTTGCATTTTCAACTTTTTTTTCATTTTCGTTTTTTCTTTTCTTTGAAAAGAAATTGTCAATACAATTTATGAAGGCATATTTTTATGCTTCATTAAGTTTTTTAAGCTTTAATTTTATTTAAATCATAATGAATTGAAACATATAAATATGGCAAATTTCAAAAACTTCAAATTTCATCGTTCCATTCGCTTTTTTATCTCTTCTTCTTTTTGCTTTTTGCTTTTACTTGGCTCTTTCCTTTTCTTTCCTTCTTTTTTCCTTTTATCTGGCTCTTTTTTCCTCTATCCTTCTTCTTTACCTTCACTTGGCCTTTCTTTATCTTTCCTCCTTTTCCCTTTTACTTGGCTCTTTCTTTTCTCCCACAACTTTTTCGGCAACAAATTGTTGGAATTTTTATTTTAAAGATTTACTAAAAACTATGCCTATTTTTTCGCTTTTTTTTTCTTTTGCCTATTTAGATTGTTTCTTCTCTTTCACTAAAATTTTAAACGATGACATTTTTCAGTTCACTTGAAAATTCCTTCTTTGAGTTTCGTTTTTTGAGGTTTTTTTTTGCCTCTTTTTACGCCTCCCTAAGGTATATTTTATTACTTGACATGATTGCATCCAGAGATAAATTCGATTTGTTGCTACAGTATGCTTCCATTGATTATTCCTCCTTTTTTTAACCTCTACAATATCTTTACAAAATGGATGTCGATCACTTCTACAGTATCCTTATAATATAGAGATCCTTTTTTTTTCTTCGTGCAAATCAATTTTATCAATAATTGCTTTTTTTTTTCTTGTAAATATTGCGTAAAAAACAATAGAAAATATCATTTTAATCTAAGGTTTTCATCATTTTTACGAGCAAAATTTTGAAATTAGTTCAAAAAAAAAACGGAAGATGCCATGTTACAGATAAGTATGATAAGTGATAAATCACATCAATTCATTTAACTCATTCATCAGTTAAGATAAGAGAAGAGTAAACAAGTTTCAACAGTTGAGTAAGTACAAATGACAAATATATGCTGAAACAATGGGCAACAACTTAATGTTTCTAATCAGTGTAACATCATGGAAATAATGACTAAACTAGATAGATAGATTGATAGATAGATAGATGAAGAGATGGATGAAAAGATGATAAAAAGATAAATAAAGTGTGTTTACAAAGTTTACAAAGTGATTATGAAAATGCATTATCCATCATTTTTTATTATCTCATTAACTTTTCTCATTAATTAATCGATCAAGTGTTTCAGACGCTCTTTTGTAGCTATTGAAAAAGATTTTTTGATAAAAAAAGAGGAAAATAGCTGTAAAAATTTCATTCTTTCACATAAATATAGCAAAAGTTCGAAGTGTAAACTTATCATGATAAATTATGATAACATTTATGATAAGTTTGTTCTGATAAAAAATAAAAAATAAAATATAAAATATAAAGATGTTAATTGCAAAAATTTCATTCATACATGTAAATATCAAATGATGAAGTAAAAGTTGAAAATGTTAAATGAAAAATTTGCATATAAATCTAAAAGTATTGTATGCAGGTGTTTACATATTTGTGATAAGTTTTATTGATAAGGTTTTTTTTTGTTCTTCGTTGTTACATTCAATTTTAATTTTCAATTTTTTTCTTATTCTTTTTAAAAATTTTATGCATAAAACGATGACAGAAGCAAATACAAGTAATGATGAGACAAAACAAGACCAAAAAGATGGGACATCACATCGTGGATTTAGTCAAAAAGTTCGTGGCATTTTATTGGAATCACAATCGACTACAACTGATAAATTACCTGTAAGATTTATTTTATATTTAAATTGGTTAATTAATTAATTGCATTTCTATGATTGAAATTGCAATGAATAATTCAGTTGTAATTTAGTTTTGTATGAATATATAATAAATTATAATTATAAAATATTTGATGAGAAATTTGCAAAAATCATCATATACATACTGGAAGTGGTAAGCAGATTTTTTATCTTATCAGTGAATGCATTTCTTATCAATAAAAAATATAATCATTTTTCTTATTATGCATTCATTTAAATGTTACACAATGCTTATCACTTCAAATGCTATATAGTGCCTATCACAATGCTTATCAGTAATAAAAACAAGTGTATGATGAATTGAAATAATTAATCCTTGTAATAAACTGATTCAATTCCGTTTTGTACTTTTAGTAATATTGTTTGCAGTTAGTGATAGTGATAACGAGTGTTATGAGTTTTCCTCCTTTTTTCTTAATCAGCCTTTTCATTTTGCAAATATTTACAAAAGAAAAGCAGTTCAGCTTGAATTCATTTTATTACTTACTGTTTTGCAACGTTTTGCTCAATTATCAATTAACCTTTAACCATCAAACTCATCAATCAGATTTTTTTTTCATTTTAAAATCAAACTAAATTCACTTTTTACATATTCAAATTTGAATAATCGAACAAATTTCAGTATTTGTTCAGGAATTATTAGCAATAAAAATAATAAAACCAAAAAGAATTTCAACTGTCTATTTTATTTCTGAATACAAGTATTGTCGCATGTCATTTTTTGTTTGTTTGTTTTTTTTTTTATGATAATGTTTCCATGTAATGAAAATATTTACATATTATGAGATTAGTTAACTTTAGCCAAATTATCAAAATAATTTTATTTCTTTTCGTAAATTTTATTTTAATTTAATTTCAGAATATACCACATAAAAATGTAAAAAAAGATGTTCAAACAACAGCACCACATCGTGGTTTTAATGATAAAGCACGTGAAGTATTATTAGATCGGAAAAATCCAGGTATTATTGATTGATATTAATTTAAAAAATATTTCGCAAAAATACGAGATAATATTGAAAAGTTCATTTCACAAAGATGTATTATTATGAAAAAAAATGTAAACACGAGAAAGATATTAGTAATAATTTAATGTAAATAGAGTTAATTAACTTAGTATTAATTAAATTGTTAAACAAAAAAAAACTCCTTATAATCATGTTAATTACAAAAACAATAACGGCTACTACAATGACAAATATTTTTGCTATAACATTTATTATTAAATATTATGTATTAATTTAGATAGTTTCATTGCACTTATTAATTGATTAGAATAATTAATTGTTATAGGTTTGAAATTTTTTTCCAAATTTTAAATTTGACAATTAACATTTTCTTTTATTCATTTATTTTTTTGTTTCTTTTTTTCTGTTATTATTTCATTTAACGAAAATGAACAAATTTTTGATCAAAGATCATTGAACCAAATGTTTACCCATTTGTTTGTTTGTTTTTCCTTTTTTTTTTTCTTTTTTTATATAAAAAGAAGAAAATTATGAAAAAAATGACAAAACAAGCGAACAAATTTTAGTTTTGATTATTACTCAAAAAAAATAAATTAAATTTGCCGTAGAAAGGGAAGCAGATGAAAAATTTTCAACGTTTTTCTATCATTCCTCTCTTTTCTTTACATATATTTTTTTTTTCTTTCCCTCTTCTCAATGAACCTA